TTCTGAGAGGACGTCATTAGTTCTCGAAAGCACTTTGTTTATTCTTAAGGCCGTCGCACCACTTCGGGTCCTTCCAACCTCTTTCCAGAAGAGTTTGGAGTTCTCCTTAAAGTTGTGCGACAACCTTTCATCCACTTCCATTCTACACCTTTCACGCACTTCCTCAATCAATGCTTTCGTGTGAACTTTCTGCAGCTTATATCTTTCTTTCATCTTCTCTCTCATATCCTTATCATTACTAGAGGCCAAGTAGTCTAACCATGCTTTCTTCTTCTTCTTTACAGCTTCTTTCACTTCATCATTCCACCATGCACCTCTTCTTTTACTACTGCCTCTTTTTATTGTTCCACACACTTCTTCCGCTGCACTTACCATTCCATCCCTAAGGTTCTGCCATGTTCTTTCTACACATTCGTTTCTGCCATCGATGGTGTCAAGCTTTTCGGCTACCCTCGCATGATATTTGTCCCTAGTATCCGCTTCCTGAAGCTTCCAGCTTCGGATGCGACAGACCGACTGTGGTTCTGTCACTGTCGTCCGGTAGCGCCAACCCGCGAACAGACCCCTAAATCTAGTAATCACTAGATAGTGATCCGTTCCCAGGTCAGCACCCCTGAACACTCGCGTATCCATAACCTGTTTTCGCAGTCGGTCATCCACCAGGAACAAATCGATCATACTTCTCTCATGCTTTCTTTCTCTGGTATACATATGGATTTTCTTGTGATTAAACATAGTGTTTGTCACAAGAAGACCCTTTTCCTTGCATACCGCCAGTATAAGCTTGCCAGCATCATTAACCCTTTTATCGCCAAACTTTCCAAGTACCGACTCGTACCCTGGTCGAGCGGTACCAACCCATCCATTCAAATCACCACATACAACAATCCTTTCGTTTCCCCTAGCCAAATCTAGAACTTCTCTTACATTCTCCCAAAACTCCTCCAGCTCAGCCCTGGACGACGAAGCCACCGGCGCATAAACAGCCAAAAGGAATAACTTCGTCAGTCCCAATTTAAAGCGAACCCAGAGAAGTCTTGAGTTCACAAACTTATATTCAGTCATAACATCGACCAACCGAGAAGACAGCAGCACTCCCACTCCCTGGCAGGTGCTCTCGCTCTCCGGGACTCCGGACCATAGAGCTAACGCCCCGCCAGGGAGCTCTTCAGTACCACTGCCCTTCCGTTTGGTCTCCGACATACACACGACATCTAATTCTCTTTCTTTCATTATTTCGATCAACTCATTCGTCTTATCTCTCATGCCTCCTCTAACATTCCACGTGCCAACTCTGCACTCCGTCCTCCACCTTCCGCCGTGTCGGGCTGTGCGTGACGGGTGGCGGTCCCCATCGCCGCTTTGCGCGCTGCATTCCACACCAACGGGGACGAGCTGATGTGCGTCGCCTTGGGGGGACGCCCTAACCCTCGTTGACATGGGTGCGCAGCTGAGTAGAATTGCAGCCCTGAAAAGGGCTGGCAGGGGTCGCGACGAGCACGCTTCTACAATGAATAAAATTTCAAGCCAACTGATGTAAAGACGTTATTAAATAAATACGCTACCCTTTGTGGTTCTGATACATATTGTTTGTCTACTGAAATTTCAATATTTTCTTTTATTTTATTTGTTGTTTTATTAGTACGTTCCTTTATAAGGGCGCACATATATTTTACCTTATTATCAGATTGTTTTAATCTATTTGCATAATCTATTCTTTTGGCCTTATTTACTGCTTTGTAGAGCAACGCATTAAATGTTTCGATCCTTTTATTATAAAATTGGTAGTATCGTCCTAACTCAAAGGTAGGTAAGCATAATATAACGTTCGTATTTATAATTTTTAACAAGGTCGCTCTTAACTCTTGAACACAATTTTTATAATTTCCGCTTCGTTTAAAATCTTCTTCTTCTATTAATATAATACACAAGCCATTTTTCGAAAGATAATTTGCTGGACTATATAGATGATCTAGAAGATTCATCATACCGACATTATTACTTTTTCGCTAGAAAATATGTTTATTTTGCCGATTTTATAATTTTTGTGTTATTCATATCGATTGTTTATCATTAGATCCGTAAGTCTATTGCTGAGTAAGCAAATCCCTTCTCTCGCTTTTTGTAGTTCAACGATCATGGTTTCAAGTTCTTTTATATTAACAATATTTTCCTGATTACATATCGGTGCCTTCGCCAGCGTTATGTTATTCGCGATAAAAGTTAACTGTTTTCGTTTCATGCACTTAGGGAATTTATTTTCAATATTTAATAGTGCTTTGATTGAGCTGCAAATTGTCTCTAGCTGTTTAATTTCTAATTCATAATTTTAAAGTTTCTTGTTTAATAACCTATAATCATTGTCACTTAGTTTAGGATGAATATCAGGATAACTCCGATCCAACTTGACCGATTTGTTCATGTAATTTTCATCGTCAGTGTCGATTTCGTCTCCAGAAAGCGTTTCAAATGAGTTTTCAGTTGAAACATTTGCTATAAGCCTGTTGCGCATTCTTACATTTTATCTAGGTGAGGTAAAATAATTTTTAGAAGGTTAGGTAACTTAATATACTGGCTTTTGAATATTTTTCTGTAAATCCGTTCGACAACGGTCGCATTTCCATTTTTCTTTACTTTTTTTTCATTAAGCTGAATATATGAAATGTTTGCACTTTCTAGGTCAAAAATATCATTTAACAAGTTGAACATGTCATAGATTGTCTCTTTTTTACCTTTTTATGGCAATTTGCTTAACTCTCTATCTTTAAGTGGCTGCTCAGTTGAATAGGTTTGATTCTAAACTCTGATTTATATCGATTGTAGCAGCTGGTGCAATCAGTTCTATAATAGTACAATCAATTCTATAGTATTAGTTTTATAAAAAAAAAATTGTTCTCTTTCTGCTGCAATGCTTTATAAGTAAAAATTAAGCTTTAGCAGTATAGTATAAAAACCTGATGAAAACGGGATGATGTTACGTGGTAGAGACATGCTGCACATGCTGACATGGTTGGCTCGGCCGGGGATGGACCACGCGCTCACAGAATTCCAGCATAAAATAGCAGCTTAATACTGCTGTGTTTTGTGAGTGTAGAGAACCGGAGACCCTTTTTACTGGAAAGAAGGCATTCCATCTTAATCCTCACGGGTGACAACGCATTTGCATTTTGATTCGTAATCGAGGGCAGATGTAGATGTCTATGGACTAAAGTAACCACTTACCATCAGGTGGACGGTGTGCTCGTTAGTCACCCCTATAAAAATCAGACAAACTAAAAGGTTTGCTTCATCGTTCATAAAGCATACAGCAAAGGAGTGAAATAGTGTTAGCATCTGCCTTCCCATCCAATTTCTATGAGAGTGTCTTCAACGCAAGAGTGAATAGTCTGTAGTTACGCTAATTATGTACACTTTACCTTACCTTAGCTTAACATCAGATGGAATTGAAGTCAAGCACTGCCTTGGAATAGTAATGTAGTTAAAAAATCAGACCTAAATCGCAAAATGTTCATATTAATGAACCTACAGATTGATACATTTAACAATTTACCATTACCATTACATTACAGCCTATAAAAATCCACTGGTGAACATAGTCCCTTCCCAGTAGATTGCCTCATAGGGGATTTTTCCTATGTTACGCTTGTAGGCAGCTTAGGACCCGCATTTTTTAATGTTTAGAATTGTTACCATTAATTGATAGAATCAGGCGTTACTTTGCGGAAATCCATTATAATGGGGTTGTTATAAACTAATTTGCTTAATTCCGCGTAAAGAAAGAAAATGATGTGTCCTGTCCAGTTTTTTTTTTTTCAACAAAAACTTGTCGTACGCAATTCTCTGTACGCGGTTAGACCTCAAAGTGATCGTCGATACGTTGGCAGTTTGAACTACTTAGGTTCTATATCTGAAAAAATAGCTAATACTCTTTGACAGAGTGGTGTGTACGTGGCATTTAAAACAAACAATTCACTTAGGAATATCTGTAATTATAAAGATAAGTTAGATATTCGTCAAAAGTCTGGTGTTTATAAACTTGTTTGTGACGAATGCCAAGCCGTTTACGTGGGTCAGACTGGTCGCAACTTCGAAACATGTTATAAAGAGCATTTAGCCGCGTACAGGAATTGTAACCCTGATAAATCACATTTTGCTAAACATCTCTTAGACACTGGACACAGCCTAGCCAATGACCACTCCTTTAAAGTCTTACATACTTGTAATAAAGGGCTACGACTGTGTGTGCTGGAACAGTTAGAGATATTAAAAAATAATAACAGTAATATTGCACTGCTGAATGAACAAACAAATGTTTCCAACTCGCCTCTCTTAAACATGTTTAAGCCTGCTCCTTGATGATATATAGCCTCGCAATATGGTGGTTTGTCACCCTCACGGTGCGGTGGTCAGCGTTTGGTTGCGAGGTTGTAAGGTAGGCGGACGTTTCGCAGTAGTTTGTTGTTAATTTCACAGCAAATATCGGCGTACGTCAGGCGGTGATTGATCGCATGACATAATCGCTCGCTACGTAATTGGAGCGCGGTTGCGTCAGCAAGTAGTATAAATAGCAGTAGTTTCGGCTCGCCGCTCACTTAATGGCTAGCCTCCGCAGAGTCTACTTCACCTGAGGATGCCTCGTGTAGAGGCGAAACACGTGTCGTATTTTCGAGAGTGGTGTATCGTGCCTAGTGTGCTGGTGCTGGGAGTGGTAGTGCTGGGATTAACGGCGATGGGTATAGTGCGCATGATTGAGGAAGGAAGGGAGGGTGGGAGGTCAACTGGGCAGGACACATCATTTTCTTTCTTTACGCGGAATTAAGCAAATTAGTTTATAACAACCCCGTTATTGTTACCAATTACATTCTATTACCCATATCCCGTTTTAGTTTCCACTCTGTCACTCTTTTGGTAACCACGAGACGATATGGGGTAGTGAATACTCAATACTCTTACACCGTCACTGAACAGTTTTCCAATTTATATTGTTGTGTTTAATATTTATGCACCCGTTTTCTACTGTTTCAGATATCGCCTACGACTCAATGATTTTAGCAACAAACTACACAAACTATGCGGTGTTATATAGTTGCAAAAATAATAAGAATGCTACAAAGAATAGTAAGTATAAAGGTAGTGAAAGTAAACACATATCATCGAAGGCAGGCGAGCTTTACTCAACTACTTAGCAAAGGACACTTTTATTAATTTCGGACCTTTAAGCATATGCACAATAAACAATGTTCATATATACACTACAAGTAAGAACGACCCACCATCATGAGATAAAACTACTGTAATACAGTCTTTAAATACGTAAATAATAAATGGTTCTTTGATCTAGGCAGACCTCGTTTCGACTTCGATTGCTTGAAATGTAGGCCCAAGTTTGAATTCTAACTCAAATAGATTGTTGATTCTTCAAACTCTTGGACAGGCCCACTGCCACTTCACTTATTTTCAGTGCTAAACTTACCTGGATAATTCGACAAATTACTGATTGGAGGATTTGTTTCTCGCTACAGACTTATGGCGAAGAATTCATCCAAACATACCAAACAGTGCGATAATTTTCCAGGGTCTGTCTTTCAATCCAATTACGATATGAATGACTTCAAGGCGAAAGTAATATAGGCTTTTGTTACGCTATGACAGTGCAATTTACCTTCTAGGACTTCACCACTATTTATCACCAGGTAAATTGTACCTATGTACTTATTTGCACCAGCGTACATTGTGAATATCCCCATGTGAAATCTTATATATATTTTTAAAGAGTAAGGGTGACAATCGAGCACACAGTCCACCTGATGGTAAGTGAATGCTGTGGTCCACAGACATCTACATTTATCCTCGATTAGGAATCAAAATGCAGATGCATTGTCACTCCTTAAGACTAAGTTGGAACGCCTTGTTTTCAGTAAAAAGGGTCTCCGGTACTCAACACTCACTATACGGAACACAGCAGCATTAAGCTGCTATTTTACGTCGTTTACCTAGGTCGAGCCGACCCATTCGTGCTAGAACCATAATATGACTGTATCGTAGTTCTACTACGTTGAAAAAGACCCTACTTCCCTTTTAAATTTACAGTTTGGGCGTGGGTATTAAGCCGGAACACAACTTTGAACAAGAATGAGGAAGACATGATTAAATCCGTTATCTACGGCAACGAAGACCTGAAAAACGTTACATGGATCGATTCAGACCATTCAAAGAAAGCTTGCGAAGCAAACTCAAGCACATCCTTCCGACTTTCAAACATTTTAGTTACCCTTACTTTATTATTTGTAAGAAAAGATATTTTATAATTTATTTAAACTGTTTTATATGTTTTGTAAATCACCGTTTCATTTCTTAACTAGCATCTGCCCGTGAAATAAAAGAAAAGACAAGTTATTTTAGTTTTTTTCATTCTTTCAGCCTCTATAAATATATAAGGACGCTGTATAAGGACCCTTTTAAACTGCATGAACTAAGAGCATGTGAGATTTAAAATTTACCAATACTCATTACAATGAGCAGTCTCGTTGGAAAGCACCGGTCTGATTATCCATTGTCAGTCCGCAAAGTTTTCTGGTTCGGTAATTAACAAGATGTACTGCGTGCAACAGTGGTGGCATACAACTTCTATAACTATAAAAGATGTAACTGTACTTATTGACAATCGGTCTCAGTCATTTGGTCGTAAGTGCGTCTGCTGAACATGTGGTGCCGGGTTTGATTAAAGTTGGCGGTGTTTCAGAGTTGGGAGGAAAAGGAGAGAAGTGGTGGAGTGGTGGTGTCACATTAATAATAACAGTAAATATAAAATAATATAGTAACAGTTAATATGTTAACCAATTAATTACTTCGTTCCAGTCGTTTTCTTTATTTCTATTGATTACTAGCTGGTACACGACTCGTTGCTGCTGAAGAAGAAATGTGGAAGTATCGTTTTAAATTTGGAACAGTTATATTAAATAGATACACGAATAAACTACATTCATTGAAGAAATAATACATTCATTGATGTTTAATGATATATAACTTTCAAATAAATTTGTCAGTACGATACGTACGCCACCTACTGTAATTTAAATGTATTATGACTATAACCATAGCGCAAGTGCCAGCAATAAATAGACAAAATATTACCGCAATCATTCATTGAAGTTTAATGATATATAACTTTCAAATAAATTTGTCAGTACGATACGTACGCCACCTACTGTAATTTAAATGTATTATGACTATAACCATAGCGCAAGTGCCAGCAATAAATAGACAAAGTATTACCGCAATCTGTTGAACGATATGGCAGACCAAATAATACAAACATAAATTTTTATGAGTCGCATCTTCTAATCGTGGGCGTTTTCTGTAGATTAGTCTGTCCGGCGGATTGGCTATCGCAGTATCAGACGTTTCGCATCTTTGAATCTGCAACTCACAATAGTATTCTGTAAGAGCGTGACCCTAGCCCGGTAGAGCCGACCCGTTCGTACTGCAACCATAATAAAACTGTTGTGTGACCCTAACAAATATGATCTATTGGGGAGAGGGGCTCTTATTCAACAGTATTGATAAGCTGTTTTGAATTAATGCATATTTGGCCGTGGAAAGAAAAGGGGAGATCTCCCGGCGGGCAATGTCGCCGGGGAGCAGCCAACGTTCCTGTGTTATTTGAGTGCGGTTCTATATAAAGCGCCTTAATTTCAGAACTTTGATAGCGTGATTTGGGCCTCGGTAGATTTAGGTCCTTTTGCTTACGGCGCGACGACAGCGCCGCCACAAATAAAAGAAAAATTTTCGCAGGTAAAACGTTACAAAATCACGTTATATTTTATGATTCAGTGTACATTTATTCCTGGCAAGGACAAGTGCCTACTCAAAACAAACAATAGATAGGACACACTATCAAACACTTGAGAGCGATAACCACTGTCGACGTGATATTAACTTATACACAGCCCCTATCCTTGCGTAACTTCTATACAATAATGACTAATCAGTATTTATAGAAGTGAAACATGGAAAATTACATTTCAATTATGGTATTTGTATCAATATATTTATATTTTTTTTAAACGCAACCCTTATAGCTGTTATATGCGACACGAATAAGTTGGATCGACCGTGGAGGGACCATGCTCTTATAGAATTCAGTCATACAATTCAATCAAATAATTTACGACAGCCTCTTAAAGTCCACTGCTGAACATATACTACAACTATATTACTAATATAACACAGCTATATTAGTAATATAGTTGTAGCACAAATGGGTCTGCTCAACTGGGGAAGGACCACGCTCTCAAAGAATACCAGCGTAAATTAGCAGCTGAACGCTGCTGTGCTTCGTATGGTTAGTGTAAAGAACCGGAGACCGTTTTTACTGGAAACGACACATTCCATTAAGACGGAACCCGTAACGACTAAAATCTTCACCGGTGACAATGCATCTACCTTTTAATTTGTAATCCAGAATAGATGTAGATTTTTATGGGCTACAGTAACCAATTACCAACAGGTGAACTGTGTGCTCGATTGTCACAATTATCCTTTACATTTTCATGCAAGGGAACGTTATTAATGTCCCGTCAATCAAGTGGTAATTAATTAATATTACAGTTTGTTTCATAATTTGCGGTTTACAATATTCTGATGCGTAATATTTAGTGTCAACTGTCAAGTAACAGTTACAAATTAATTAGCTCTTAAGGCCCATTTACACAGTACAAGTTTCTTGCCTGTTGCATTTAATAATGTTATCTAGTAATAATTAAATTATAATTATAGTTACAAAACCTAAAGAAACGTGCTAACATTAAAATTATTTTATTTTATCTTGATGATCATGAGACTACTACTTACGAGCAAATTTTCAAGTCAATTGGCCGTCTACAAGTTGGTGAAAACTACATTAAAAGATTCAAGCGAAGTTGATAAAAGTGTGTTCAAAATTAATATCCGACGTCTAAACAATTTGTAATATTCTTGATCTGGAATAACAAGTTGAGTTCCGAACTGTTACTAGTGTAAAAATCATATAATAAACCAAGTTTTTAGTAATAATATTTAATATTGAATAAAACATTTGTAATACTTGAAGCAATTTACCAAAAAATATATAACTATTTTTATTTTATATAATTATATAATTATTTTTAATTTATCAAAAATGTTCGTGATGTAAACAAATAGTTGCAATAATTACTTGTTAAAACTTTTGTACAATACTAGTATTCAAAATAATGTATAAAGTACATCTCCGAAGAGCAAAGCCCTTGTATCGGCTGCTTGGATGTAAATATTGTGAGCTTTTTTTTTAATTGGGAGCTATTTATTAATAAGGAATTGACTGATGTGAACCTAATTCAAGTGAAAAAGGTGAGTTTTAATTTTTTTTACCTGTTTTGAACCATTTTTATGAAGAGGGTCATTAAACCATAATAATTATAAGGCACTTACGTACCAATGAACTCTTGTTGTTCTAGTGAATATTAATTCTTCTACAGCAATCTTAAAGAACTAAATTACTAAATAGCACAACGCACAAAAGTAGCCTAACTGGTCCTAGTTAGACTTCTTTTGTGCGTCATCAACAACTTCATCAACCTTTAGCAAAATTCTTTGGAAACATCAAAATTAATTTGCATGGTCATGTAAATTCATATATTTACTATGATCTGAAGGCAACCATAGCTAATTATGACAATGGGATGTCGAACACCTCATTCCCTTCCGTGACCATGGGTAAAGCACTACTCGAAACGTCGGGCACATAATTAAACATAATAATATACTTAATATATGCGATGAAATCTGTAAAACTTGTTTTATTTAAATGTATAGTTTTCGCGTAAACAAAATAAATCATTATCTACTAACATACATACTCGTAGTAAATAATTCCGTTTTTTTTAGTTTAAGGTAAAAGTCAATTTACCGACCTACATTTAAGGCATGCTTTCCGGCCTCAACACATTACGTATTACGTTGTTAGGTATTCAAGGTTTTAATGAGTATATCTTGATTGAATATAATTAAATTATTAATTACTCTGTATCATTAAATATCTGAGTTTATTTCCCATTTGTTCGTTAAAATTTCGACTGTATCGAATTGAGGCAAACATAGTCTACAAATCCTAGGCTTAGTCTTGACAGCAACCTCGCCCTCGGCGCCTACAGGCCATATTCTACAAAATGAAAGAATGAGCGTTTTTCAAACACCGTTTTTCTGTGCGGCTATTGCAGCTAATGTGCATCTGCAACCAACTTCGAATAAAGAAGGCTACAGGTTCGTTGTCACTTCTGAGGACTCATTATATTCTAGACTCTGGTCTAGACAACGATTGGTGGTTCACGCACTGCTGCTTTGCGGCAGGAATAGGTAAGACGATGGTACTCACCCAGACCGAATCCTAGGCAGAAGAGTTGTCCTATCATCTGGTAAAAATGATTTTAATTCTGAGGTATGATAACTCACCTGTAACATTCTTCGTTAGTAGTTGTTTACGTGGACCAACATTAAAAAAAACATAATTTCATAAAGTAAAAATACTGTTATGTATACATAAATTGTAAATTTTATATGGTAGCATTATCGCCGAACAATCTGGATATATTATTATGTTTTTTTTTTTTTTTTTTATAGGAGAGGGGGCAAACGAGCATGCGGCTCACCTGATGGTAAGTGACTACCGCCGCCCATGAACAACCGCAACACCAGGGGAATTGCAGATGCGTTGCCGGCCTTTTAAAAAGGAGTAGGCTCTTTTCTTGAAGGTCCCTAAGTCGTATCGGTCCGGAAAAATCCCTGGTGGTAAACTATTCCACAAGAAAGTTGTGCGAGGAAGAAAACATCTTCTAAATCGCACAGTGGTGGACCGCCAATCATCCAGATGGTGTGGATGGTATCGGGAGTTCTGCCGCGATGTGCGTTCGTGAAATTTGGCGGCTGGGATTAATCCGAACAATTCCTCAGAGCACTCCCCATGGTAGATGCGAAAGAAAATGCAAAGAGATGCAACATCTCTTCGCAGTGCCAATGAATCGAGCCGATCGGAAAGGGCTCGGTCGTCGACGATTCGAGCCGCTCTACGCTGGATGCGGTCAAGTGGAAGGAGCTGGCACTGGGGAGCCCCTGCCCAGAGATGGGAACAGTATTCCATGTGAGGCCGAACCTGCGCCTTGTAAAGTTGCAGGCGGTGTGCCGGCATGAAATACTGTCCCGCTCTGCTGAGCACGCCAAGCTTTTTAGAGGCCAATTTGGCCTTCTCTTCCAAGCGACCACGAAACTGCACGTCACTCGATATGTCGACTCC